TAATGTTAGCTATTATTAGCTTCATATAGGCCTTAAGTGCTTCACAATTAAGTCCTTTAATCTAATTGGGACATCTGCAATATGACAACAAAAAATTAAACAAGCAAAAGCAGAATTGCCAGGAAAAGCAAAATAGTCAACAAAGGATTCATACAGAGAACAAGAATTACACAAGAATTGGCAATTTCATTCCATAGATTTCCAAAACCTGTTGATAATCTGATTCTTTTCAAAACTTTAAAAACCCAATCTCGCATAAAAAAGGAAAGAAATAGGCCTCACATAGATTGCTTGGCAGTCCAGCTACTCGACAACCTTCTTTGGTCCTAATAAAAGAAACCAGTTAAGAGATCCTGAATCGTTCAATCATGATAACAAGGGAGCATGAAAAACAAACGATTACAATAAAGATGGAAAGAAATAAAGATGAACGAACCATGGAGCTTAGGTGGGCGGTGATCCTTGCCCCATCCGACACCGCGGGTGGCTTCAAGATACTGCTCGACAAGATGGCGACATTTCTGGATATGGTTGACACCTTCGATGCGGTAGCACCATTTAAGGCGCTCACGGATAATCTTTGCAGTCTCAATCTGAATTCACTTCTCCCTCACCAAGTACTCTTTGTAATCTAGCATTGCCATCGGATCAGCGTGAGGGTTGTTCGGATCGAAGTCATCCGGGGGCGTCGAACTCCACCGTCTTCTCCCGCTCGCGCCTCTCTACGGAATCGAAGAAGAAGGGGGTAACACGTAAAAACGCTACCCCCGAACGCGGGCCACGGGGTCGAACCCGCGGTCCGCATTCAATAAAAAAATGCTGGGCGTCTCCGCTGAATGCCGTCCCAAACGACGAATTTTCACGGTCCAAACCTGCGCCGCGGAATGGAAGCACTCCCAAACAGAGCCTTAAAAAACTGGATTCAAAAGTGTGAGCCTCCCAAAAGAAAGACCTGTCTAAAGTTAGCCTAGCACAAAAATGAGAGACTTTTGTGCTAGCCGGCAATACACTCACGCCCAAGGAATGACTCTGTTTGATAGGTAGAGAGAAGTTGAGAACATAGAATAAAAAAGTATGGTGACAACGGGCAGCCTTGTCGGAATTCGCACTTTGCCTCAAACCTAGAAGTTCGCCTGCCATTTATGAGGATTGCAAACCGGGGGTTCATAATACATTGGATAATCCAGTGTTGAAATGTTGGAGGAAATTACAGCTTTTCCATCATTAGACGTAGCGTGGTCCAGCTCATTTTATCAGAAGCTTGCTCCATATCGAGTTTAGCTGCCATGAAGCCCGTCGTAGAGATGGAGTGTTGAAAGCGGCCCATCCAATCCTGTGCCAATAAACAATGAGAAGAAATAGATTTATTAGGCACGAATGCACATTGTTTTTCCGCACCAAGATGAGGGAGAATCTCCTTCAATCGGTTCACCAAAATTTTGCCTACAATTTTGTTTGAGAAAGGCTGATGCGATGAAAGTTAGACGGAGTGCCGGCATTTTCAACCTTTGGTATGAGAACCACAAGAGTGTCCTACTCAGGATACATGTTGCCACTGGTAAAAAATTCTTGAACTGCTTCACACACAGCATTCCCAATCAAATACCAGAAATATTTGAAGAACAAAGAGGTTATACCGTCCGCCCATGGAGCCCTGTTTAGGCCTATGGTAGAGTTTAGATCATTAATATTTGAAGAACAAAGAGGTAGAACAAATGATTCGGGTCAAGCTAGAGTTTAGCTCATTAACTTTAGCTTTCAGCTCTATTTTCGGCACCTCATTAAGTCCTTGGGCCGAGCAATCCTGCTGTTGGAGGTTGTTGATTTCCGCTTCAAGTCTAGTTTTTAATTCCCCAAGTTCTCGTATCTTATTCTTACACCAAAAATTTAAGGCCTTTATGGTCTGGTGGCATTTCCTAGCAAGAGTACTCGATTCGGATCCAAAGTCGTGTTTTTTCCACTTCGTCTCCACAATGTTGTGTGCTGCCGGGTTCGAAAGCCAAACATCCTCAAATTTGAGCCATCTATGAGGATTTATGGCATTAGAGCTCTTCAGCCTAAGCAGCACCGGGCAGTGGTCCGAATATTCGGAGCTGTTTCACCTGAATATCCAAATAAAGGTCAAGTGCCGCCCTATTAACCAAAATACGGTCATGTCGAACCCAGATCTTTTCCATCCTGCTTTTATTGTTATACCAAGTGAAAGAAGTCCGCTGAAGTTGACATTGTGAAGTTCACTTCATGAATTCCATCATCTCCCTAGCACCAAGTGAATTCATGAACCTTTTCCCCCCTTTCTTATCATCTTGAGATGTATTGCAATTGAAATTCCCTCCAACCAATGTGGGGATTCCCAAGATGAAGTAGTCGCCGGCGTATACGAATGCTATATTTCACAGTTTCCCATCCGGGAGGCAAGCCATTCCGAAGGTACACTGATTCGTATGTTCTCTAACCGAAAATTGAACCAAGTCGTGCTTCCACAACACCAAAATATCTCCCGAAATCCCTTGGGCCGGTTGGTAAAATAACTCCCGAGCCATTCAGATAGTCTTGTCAATATCCCTTCTACAAAGGTCCACGGATTTGGTCTCCATGCGACCAATGATATGCACATCATGATTGCCTATAATATGTTCCAGATAGTTGCCCACCGCAGCCTTGCAGGTCCCCCCGACAATTCCAGCAGAGAATACCACCCACATCGATAGTAGAGCTGCTGATTCCCTCGTATTCAGCAGGTTTAAAATTCCTCCCACGAGGACGCTGGATCCACACCCCCTTCGGCGGTGGAGAAGATAAATCCATGCGAATAAATCCTCTTGCATACATGCTCCTCCCCCACGTGCTAGTTTGAGCATCTAGCCAGAGGGGTTGTCCAATCATTGAAGCTATCTTGGTAATATTATGAGTGTCCCAATAGAGAAGGGGAAGTCGCGGGAATCTAACCCACACAGGTGAGTAAAGGAATCTAACCCACACGGGTGAGGAAAGTCCCCGTATGGACTTTGGTGAGAAATCTAGCAACCATCTGTTAAAGTCCCACCATAAATCCCGAGATGAACCAAGGACCCCTAGGCAAAATTTCATCACACGCCTCTTCATTGTCAAAAATACTGATAAACAGTCCGGCGCTACTATTATAAGTTCAAAGCCCCCCAGGTGAGACCACTTCCGATAGAGTTTATTCTGTAGAACAGAGCGTAGAATTTTTCGGCCTAAGAGTTTACTCACAACCATCCTTTCCAATCGTGGCTGATTCGCATCCACGACTTCATCATTAAGAACTGTAATGGGAGATTTGCTTTTTATCCAATCTTTCATTTATTTGTACATGAGAACTGGCTTCCTCCAAGCATTCCCATGATTTCTCCACATCATAGGCTTCGGTTGTCCTTGTCCCAATACGTGAGACCCTTTCCCACTTAGATTTCCCCAAAGCTGTCTACTGGAACAATCCCCTGAGAAGATGGTGTGCTCTCCTGATTACTCCCCATGGAGCTGTGAAGATCCGGTTCAGAGAATCAACTCTCTGTCAGCTACAGCGGCGTTACCCGAACACCCTTCAGGGGTGTTGAAGACGGGGGATTATCTCTACCCGCCGAGAAGAGACTTTCTACACCTGTGGCACATTCTTCCCAAAAACGATTGTCCTCTCCCATGAGGGTATCCGTACCTCCATCACAGTCCCCATTAACGAACACATCCATCCGATAATCATGAGGAGGGTTCTTGCCAGTAGTAAGCTTCTCAATAGACGAGCCTCCACCCGCCACCCGTGGAAATTCCCAATCATGCACTGTAACAGGCGATCGCGCATAGATTCGGCCTGATCTCCAAAGCCAACTGAAGTCCCTTGTGTGGGCTGTCCCAAAGCCAGAGTGGCCACCTGTTTGGCATCCAGCCTCTTTTCTCCTTCTAGTTCCATAGCGTCAGCCTCACCATTTTTAACTGAGCCTTGCAGAATCGTCGATTGGATCTCTGAACATTTCTGATGCCCTAGGTTGTATAGGTTTCCATGCTTGTCCACAGCAGGTAAGTCACCACTTAGTTCCACCTCCATGCTTTTGGACGGTCTATTCTCGGTTATCGACTCCTTTGGAGTTAAGACTTCGTCTATCGCAGAGACCTCTCCTTGTGCAGACGACGAAGCCACCTCTAGCGTCCTCACGTAATCCTTTACACAAACTGGCACTCCACGGCTACCTCCACCGCCTTCCATAGCGCCAAGTGAGGGGGTGACCTGGCCATGCCCCATAGCTCCTCTCTCTAACCGGCTACTTGCAATGGCGCAACAAAGATAATTGTAAGTAGACAAAACACATAACTATGAATTACTTGTATGGACAAAATGCTTTTTATATAAAGCTAATTCAAATGACTTAAATTTGATTGTGATATACTAGGCAGCTTTAGAATATAATAGATCAGTTGGGCGCCCAAGTGTGCCTGCGAACGGCGGCAGGTAGCGGTGCCGGTAAATTTCAACAGCGGCGAGTGACGGTGACTTGCCTATATTATTTTACATAAATGATGTATTTCAAATTTGACCAAATCAACCGAATTCTAAATTCTAAATTCAGTCAAAATATGCTACGGTGTAAACTTTAAATTCATTAAAACTTGCCATTGTATTTACAAATTTTCATATTAAATACATAATTTTTTCAAATCCCTGGAAAAAATTTACAGCACACCACTAATTCACTCAACCAATATATATGAGAAACCACAATAAAAATAAAGCCAATATTCGATTGATTACTCATCATCATAGTAATTTGAATAGATAATTCCTCAAAAGTTGCTTTTTCATATTTTTATTTGATTCATGTAACACTTGTAACTTGGAGTCCAAGTCCCTGACAGCGCCAATTCTAGAATCAAATCCGTTGTTGTTTCTAATCTCATGCACTCAGAACTTTCCATAGCTGACTACATTTACTTGCAACTTAGTTTATAATTGATAATGATATTATTTGTTGATTTCTATTCTGCAGCTTTTCCACTTTGATGTGCACGAAGATGTCCGAACTGTTGCCGATGCCACCATAGAGAAAGATGAGGTATCATTCCATTGAAGTGTGCCTACTTCATAGCAACAGCAGTGTCAACAACAATCTATTACCAGTTAATTGTTTTGATTGGTTTTATTGTAGAGAAACTGATTGAGATTGTGAAGTATAATTTCTTCATTTTTATTGTGTTAATGTATATATGTTTGATATTTTGCAGTCTCATGCGGGGAAGGTTGTAGAAAGACACTGGTATGAGAAGAACAAGCACATTTTTCCTGCTTCAAGATGGGAGGTATTTTCTTTTAAGATGAACTACACATTTAAATCCATAAAATTATTAGGAAAATTTACATACATACCCCCACAATTCATATGTATTTTCATATCTAACCCATATACTTCAATTTTTACATACTTATCACTTTACTTACATATGCCTTAGAAGGTGTATTTCACCCTTAAGAAGTTAATACCATAGTTTTACGAATATAAATATCAAACTTTAGGTGTAAGATATGTAAATAATACATAAGAATCATGCAGCATAGCATTTACCACCCAATTCCTTTGTATTTACAACACCTAAATTAAATTGTTTACATTTATACCACTCAAATCTTTCATATCACGTTAAAAACATCACCATCTTAACTTTTTAATAAGTGAAATACCCCCTTTTCATGCATAGAGTCGGCGGCGTGTATGTAAAAATTGAATTTTAGTGTTAGATTTGTAAATAAATAGGATTTGAGTGATATCTGAGTTTATGTTTAAAAAATATCCTTTTTTTTTTCCCCTCATAATAGTTTCAAAACTATTATTTCATGCAAAGCCGCAACTGCTTCCTAACAGTCCCAATTTCTTAATTATTTGTTGCATTGAAATTAATTATTTCTTAATTAACTTTTTTTTTTTTAATCAGATATACGATCCAACTAAGAAATGGGAAAGATACACTATTCATGGAGATTAAACTCTTTCATAGTATGGATGCCAAAATGGGAGACTTAAAAAAAGGCTTGTTTTATGCTATTTTTTGCACTTTTGCCCTCAGGATAACTTTGCAAACTAGACCTGGTTTCTTAATGATGTGTAAATTGGGATTAATTGAAACTAAGCTAGTGATTTACTTTTTAATCCTCTTGATTTTTTAAGTAAGTTAGGTTTGTTTTAATTTTTAAGAATAAGGATTTATATACATGCCACATATTTCTTATGTATTTGCTTCTGATATCTTGATTTTTGATATTTACTTCTATAACACATTAGTGTCATAATTACATAAAAAATAGAATTAAAATTACAAGTTTAGATATAAGGCAAATGCATTAAAAAAATTACAACTTTAGATATAAGGCATATTTGAAATTATATAAACTAAATTGATTATCCATTTTTTCTCTATTTTGTTATTGTTAAAGAGCTCCTTTGAGATTTTTTATTTTACATTTTGAGCACGATTGAGAAACTTTAAATAATTTTAATTTGCATAAACGTATTTGTTCCAAGGACTTGTAATAAAATTGTCGACTAACTATATTGTACTAATGATGGATCCCTGTGGAGGATATAATTTAGGAGTCATTTAGAACTAATTTTATTTTTTAATTTATTTATTTTGATGTATTTTATAGTATTTTTAAAAATAATTTTTCAAAAAAAAAAAGGTAAAATTTACATATATATCTTACAATTTTTATGTATTTACATAACTAATAATCAAAGTTTGATTTTTACCTTTATAACACATTGGGGTCATAAATTTGTATTTGAAAAATGTGTATTTCACTTTTAAAAATATTGTGATAATGATATTATTGGCGTGTTGCTAAAGATTTGAGTGCATGTGTAAATATGAATAGTCAGGTGTTAGTAGGGGTGTAAACGAGTCGAACATGAGCGAGCCATGCTCAGCTAGGGTTCGGCTCGTTTATATTTTGAGCTCAAAGTAGAGCAAAAAAAAAGGGGAGGGGCTCGTTTGTTTAACGAGTCGAACACGAGCTATTCACGAACAAAGAGTCATTTTAACGAGGGATAATTGCGTGCGGACATCGCATGCAGCATGCGGTGTCCGATCCTGGCCGTAGATCACGGTGATCTACGGTCTAGATTATTTCTATTTTTTTTTAAATCTTTTTTAAAATACTACTTATATATATATAAACTTGATGAGTAGTATTTCGAGTCAAAACGAGCCGAACACGAACGAACACATCTTTGTTCATATTCAGCTCGTTAATTTATCGAACAAAATTAACGAGCCGAACACGAGCTTCTTAACAAGTCGAACACGAGCTGTTCGCGAGCATAAGCAGTTTTGCCAGCCCTAGGTGTTAGATATGTAAATAAATAAGAATTGTTGTTAAGTATCTAAATGCCTCGAATTTTGACATGAATAAGGTTGCTCAATTTCAGTTTCTGGAAGGGTCGCGGGTGAAAAGGAAAAAAAATTCTAGAATAAAATAAGAAACCGTTAGCTTATTTTCTTTTTTAGTAAGCTTATGATATTATACTCTAAAAGAAATTTATGCCGAAAGCTGCTCAAAATTTGATATTTACATTTATATTGTTTTGATGTGATCAATTTATATATCTGTGAGTAATTTTTTAAAAAAAAAAATATGTAAATTTAAATTGTAATAATGGATATTTGAATGATATGTATATAAATATAAACTTTTAGGGGTTAGATATGTAAATACACAAGAATTATGTGATGTGTATATAAATACCACCCAATTCTTATATATTCCCATATCTAACACCTAAAGCTCAATTTTTATATTTATATCACCCAAATCATTCATATTATAACTACATACCAACTACTCAAAATGTTGAATATAGCATATTAACCACATAAATTTTAAATAAATCATTTTAACAATCCGAAATTTTCACTCAAAATCTTCATTAGTTTGTAAGAAAAAAAGTGGTCGTAATGAAAAATGCGGTTAAAATATTATATTTAAATTTTGGTGATTAAAAATGTAATATTCAATATTTTAGTTGGTTGATAGGTAAAATTTTATTTTTTATGTTTTTCCTTTTAGAGTGAAATACACATAACATGCATGTAAAAATTAAAATTTAGGTGTTAGATATGTAAATACATGAGAATTGAGTGGTATGTATGTAAATCTTCAAATAATTTATCTGCAGTAAGGTTAAATACTTTATAATGTCGGACTCCATCGCCGGATCGAATTCATGGAGGAAGCGAAGGCCGCCGCATACTACGACGAGCTTACTCGCAAAGGCGAGGGTGCAGCGCGCTTTAAGCAGGGTCTCGGCTTCTCCTCTTCCTCCTCCCTCTCGTTTCCCCAAAAGCCCTCTTCGTCTCCATCGTCACTCTTCTCCAGCTTTGTGCGAGCCACCAGTCCCTGCAAAGCCCAGAAACAAGC